GTGAAATTAAATCAGTCAGAGAAAGACAAATACCATGTGATTTCACTCATATGTGAAATTTAAGAAACAAAAAAGATCACAGGGGGAAAAAAAGAGGCAAACCAAGGAACAGACTCTTAAATATAGAGAACACACTGATGGTTACCAGAAGGAAGGTTGGTGGGGGGAATGGGTGAAAGGTGAAAGAGATTAAGAATACACTTATTTTGATGAGCACTAAGTAATATACTGAATTTTTGAATCACTATATTGTACACCTGAAACTAATACAACACTGTATGTTAACTACCCTGGAATTAAAATTTAAAAATTTTAATAGAGTGTTTAAACAACAACAAAAAAAAAACATGTATCCACAAACAATAGGTAAAATTGGCAGAGCTATATTTCAATAAAATTTTATTTATAAAAATAGGTGGCTGGCCCATGAGCCATAGTTTGCTGATCACTGTTCTAGAGTAATAAAATCCCATAACTTTTAGCAAGGTAAAAAGTATTACCTATCCCAGCATCTCTTGTAGAAGCTTGTGTACAACTTTCAGAAATTGTCCTTAAACGGAAAAAGTGTACTACTCTTTATATATCTCCATCCTTCCTTTTCACTAGAAGCCTGGAGCTCTAGCAGCCATCTTGGGCCAGGAAATAACTTTGGAAAATGGAAATCACACACAGTGGGGCAACAAGGTAGCAGAAGCCTGGGATCTGCACCCCATGAATCACCATTCTAACCTCAAGCTAATATCACCAGATTTCTTAAAAGAAAAAAAATAAATTTATGTCATATAAAAAACATAATAAACGACTTTTATTTTGGTGCTTCCTGTTACTCTGTGCTCACAGTTAAACCTATTTCCTACTATGAAAGACTCAAGGAATAATAAACCAACTCTGCTTCCTAAAGGGATTCAAATAGATACTAGAGACATCCAATATCCAATTGTGTGCGTGTGTGTGTGTGTGTGTTTGTGTGTTTTAAAGATTTTAGTTATTTATTCATGAGAGACACAGAGAGAGGCAGAGACATAGGCAGAGGGAGAAGCGGGCTCCACGCAGGGAGCCCAATGAGGCACTCAATCCCAGATCCCAGGATCATGCCCTGAGCCAAAGGCAGACACTCAATCGCTGAGCCACCCCTATGTGTGTTTTTTTAAACAACATTTTATTCCTACATTTGCTCTTAGCCTAAAGGCCAAGAATTGATTATAGCACTTCATTCAGATTTTACTGGCCTTTTGATCTAGGTCTTGCAATTACTTGGGTTCATATCTGTAAGAAAGATACAGCAAGACAATTCTTTGATAAGCCAATCCTTTGTAACTATTTTAAGATTTTATTTATTTGAGAGTGAGTGAGAGAGCAAGAGAGAGCACAAGCAGAGGAAGGGGCAGAGGGAGAGGGAGAAGACTCCCCACTGAGCAGGGATCCCAACCATGGGACTCGATCTCAAGAAGCTGGGATCAACCTGAGTCAAAGGCAGATGCCCAACCGACTGAGACACCCAGACCCCCTCCTTTGTGACTTTTTAAAAAATGTCAAATATCATAAATACAGGTAGGACCATTTAGAACAGTTCCATTGTTTATTAAATCCCTGTTTCACCCAAGTCCTGATTACTGTGTACACAGTCTATTGTGGATTTCTCTATGGGTCCAGTAATGTGAACATTAGCTTGTTATTTCTTCCGCTCTACAGAACAGAAACACACACACACACACACACACACCACCACCACCACCACCACCACAGGCCTCTGATGGGGCTCAGCTTTACCTTGACATGATTAAGATAATGTCTGAAGAGCTCTAAAAGTGTCACGAATGATCTCTAAATACAAAATAATGTTTACTTTTGTACATAAAAAGATATAGGGCTGCTGAGTCATGACAGCATATCTTCTCTATAAGGGTGTGAGGCATGAAATAGACCTAATGTTTTCATGATCCCCACCCTGAGAAAAGTATTTCTGTATTCCAGAGTTACACTGGTATATATTGAATGTTTTTGTCCCCTTAAAATTCCTATGTTGAAGCCTTCACTCCCAAATGTTACATTTGGAGACAAGGCCTCTGAAAATTTAAGGTTAAATACGGTCACAAGGGTGGGGCCCTGATCCTATAAAATTAGTGCCTTTATAAGAAGAAACAACAAAGATACCTCTGACCCCCTCCTCTCTCCTCACACAGGGACTGAGGAAAGGTCATGTGAGGATACAGCAAGAAGATGACCACCTGAAGGGAGGAAGAGTTCTCATCAGAAATTGAATTGGCTAGACACTTGATCTTGGACTTGTAAGAAAATGAAGTTTTGTAGTTCAAACTACTCAGTCTGTGGTATTTTGTTAGGCAGCCAGAGCATACTATACACACTCCAAAAGGATGGTATGAACCAGACTTGATATTTCAACTTGACTCTTATTCTCATGGATGACTTGGAAGTTGCCTTCTGACCATTTGCCATGAAATGTCACTCCTGTGACATGTAGAATGACCAACCATCCTGAGTTGCCTGGGATTGAGGGATTCCCGAGACTTAGGAGTTTTTGTGCTAGAGCAGGGAGAGCTCCAGGCAAACTTGGACAAGTTGGTCATCATAGATGGGCAACACATTCCATTTCTCCAGTTACTGCTCCTTCTACAGCTCCAAATTTTCCCATAAGCCACACCACTTAGGCTCTCTCGGTTGGAGTCCCATTTCCCTTTCAGAGAAGCCCTCTTGGACAAGATCAAAAGAGCACCTTGCCAGCTGTCTGTTTCTCTCATGTGGTACACATTTGGTGCAAGAGAAACACCAACATCATTTGTCCTGACAAACTATGGGAGTCAGGGCTGATCCCAATACAGCAATTCTCCTTTTCTCCTCTGCTTCAACCTCTTACTGGCCCACTTCTCCTACCCTGGGATTTCTCAGATGTGAATCAGGCACTATTGTAGTTCTCAAAACCCAAGGGACACACATTAAGCATCCTGAGTAGTGCCATTGAAGCCCCACTCAGTAGACCTAAAGAGGTGTGAGGAAGCACAACAATGGCTTTCTCCAAAAATCTTCCTCATGAAATCACCTCTTTTATAATCTTCTTCTAATCTTTGAAACTGGTGAAAAGCTCCAATAATTGAAAAGCCAGTTTTTGGACTGTGGTTACCAAATATAGGGAGCAAAATTGCCCAAGGGCCCAGATGCCGCACTCTGAAATCTGCCACACTTGCACCACGGACCAAGCTTTCCATGGGCTGTTCCAGCCAGTGTCTGAATGCATGCAGCACAGATAATATGGCAGGCTCCTTCCTAGGAGGACCCTTCTGGTGGCAATTTTGACTTGAGCATTCTCAGCAGTCTTGCCAAACCTTCCTTAGACTCTGCAGCAGTTTAGGACTCCTCCACCAACCTCCCCCCACCTCCTTCCCTGCGTTTGACTTCCATCAGTCTGATGCCTCTCCCAGCCTTCCCCAACTCCCTCCCCATTCTCTCCTACAAGTGTTTCCTCTAATAAAATTCTTGCACATTTAATGTCATCTTAATAGCTGCTTTTTAGAGGGCCCAGACTCACACAAAGATATTTCCTTTGAAAATAATGCCTCGTCAGGACTTCACTTGGTGTTTCATAGTTGTATTCTAATGCAGCAGGCAACACTTCCAGTTCAATATCCACTTATGCTACTAATCATGAGATGAATGAATGATGCGGTAAGAGGGAAAACTATAGGATTTTACTTTTCATTTCTTGTTGTTCAATCCACTCCAGGTTTTGTCAAAATATATGTCAAGTTGTATGAGTATAAAGCTGAAATTTTTGGTAAGGTATCATAGTGGGTGCTCAATGTGTGAGTGGGAACATTGTATATGCAAATATGTTTGAGTGGGCAACTGGTCTTGTGCCAGGACTTGGATGAAAGCACTGTTGCACGCTACCTTGGATTTTCAAACCAACCTCAACCCCAATATCAGCATTTTCCTTTATTCCTTTACATTTTCTTCCTCCCTAATCCCTTCTCATTTTTCTCTTCTTTCTTTTCGCTGTATTTCTTGTAGTGCCACCGCTTGAGAGGTCGCCAAAAGACAATGCTATAAAGTAGAATACAGATATATAATTGAGGAGGCTTTATTTTGCTTTTATCTGAACCTGGTAAATTGCTTAAAGCTGTACTCCAAAGAAGGAAGAATCAAAGTAGCTTTTTATACTTGTTCCCCAGAATTTCAAGTGTTCCAAATCCTTCTCTTTTTTTAGAAGAAAAACTTCCAATTGAAATGTTTTTATATAAAAGTGTGTGAAAGACATCAATACCAAAACTGTATTTCGATATTCTGACCAAAAAACAATGCTTCTCCCAGCAAAAGAAATCCTCTCTGTAATTTGTACTCAAGACTGTTATTTGTCAAAATGTGACAACATGCCTTTGTCTTCATTATAATAGCAGGCAAGTAAGAAAGGTTTACTGTGGTCAATTTTTTTTTTTATTTAAGATTTTACTTATTTATTCATGAGAGACACAGAAGGAGCAGAGTTACAGGCAGAGGGAGAAGCAGGCTCCCTGCAGAGAGACTCAATCCCAGGGTCCTGGGGTCACGACCTGAGCCAACGGCAGACACTCAACCACTGAGCCATCCAGGTGCCCCTACCCTAGTCAATTTGTTTATTTCCCTATATTAAAAAGAATTGTAGCAGATATGGAATATAAAGAGCAGAGAGATGGGGCAGCCCGGGTGGCTCAGCGGTTTAGCGCCACCTTCAGCCCAGGGCATGATCCTTGGAGCCCCGGAATTGAGTCCCACGTCGGGCTCCCTGCATGGAGCCTGCTTCTCCTTCTGCCTGTGTCTCTGCCTCTTTCTCTTTCTATCTCTCATGAATAAATAAATAAAATCTTTAAAAAAGTAAAACTAAAAAATAAAGAGCAGAGAGAAGAAAAGAAACAGCTATTCTTCAAATATGATCATTCTTAATTCCTTTGTATTTGTTCAGTGCTTTTTCTATGCATAACTTGTTTTCATAAAAATAAAAAATAAAAATTTCCCCATGATGTTTTGCTGGGCTCTGACCTCCCCTGAGGACACGGTGCCCCTGGGACCTGACACCCAGGAGTCGGCGAGGTCCCGTTCTGGGGAGATGCTGGGGTGTGTGGCTATTTCCTCACCTGACAGCCTCCGTGTTTTAAAAAAAAAATAGAGACCCGAGTGGCTATTCACCCTTGATAGAGGGCTGGTTATAGTTAATGCTGACATAAGATCGAATTACTGGTTCTCAGTCATACTCTAAAGGAATGGAAACCAGGAGACGCAACTGGTTTGGTGGAAAGTCTCTCAAGATGCTAGTCGTCAGTCCTTTATTATGGTCAGAGACTGTTTGCCAATGACGACAGACCTGCAGCCGTCAGTCCCGACTTACAGGTTCCTGGCGGGAGTCAGTTTGCCAGCACCCGGCAGCGCGTGCCGGCTCCCTCGGTTAACCGGTCGAGGGCGGCTAGAACCCTCTATGTGCAGAGTCAAGGCGTAGGAGGCCAAGCGAAATCCCAAGACGCTGGCAGTGGAGGTGAGCCAAGCACACGATTCGGCCTTGCATCCACCGCAAAGACCACGATGGCGGTGGCTGGGCCTACTCCATGGGCAACAAGGCTGAGCCGAAGGCGGACGCCCTCGCAGACGTGGCCGGCCAGGATGCGCCCGGCGTTGGGCTGTTTCTACATGGGTGCATTACGGAAGAAATCCAAAGCAGAGGCAAACCGAGGGGATCGGGATTAGACAAACTCCCACAGGAGCTGTTACTATTTTTGACAGACCACTTGCCCTGTCCTGGTCCTAATTTCCCCATAATGGAAACGGCATCATTTCCTCCCCCTGGGCCTGTTGTGAAAAGAGGATTTAAACGGCGCGGCAGGGCTGCTATCGGGCACAACACAGGACACGTAAGCCGCGCTACAGGAGGAGGAGGACAAATAAGACCCCCAAACCTCGCCGCGCCGCCGCCAGCCTCTCTACCCAACCCGCTTCCGGAGCCCCTTCACCCCAGCCGAACGCGAATCCCTCCGCGCTCGCGTCACTTCCGGGAGGCTCTGGTCACGAGGCCTCCAAGTACCCGGATGCAACTATCATGGCTGCCATCAGTAAGGTACCGCAATGGAGACCGAGTCAAGAGTTACCCGGAAAGTGCCCAGATATGGAGCTTCTAGGAGGCCTGTCAAAGGGCAAAAGATGAGATTACTGGGCGGCAGGCTGCCCCAAGCGTCCTAGGAATGCGCCTGCGCGCTTCCTGAAGCTAACTTGCCGCCAAGTCTTTCTAGAGGAGTGGCTCCTCTGTGACAGGGTGGGGCCTCACTTCTTACGTAGGCCTTCCTTTTGTTCCGGGTTTCGGTTTCCGTCACCTCGCTTAGCCCTGGAGTGGCGCGGGCGACGTGGGCGCGGGCCGTGCGGGCGCCGGCCGGGGAGGAAGGGGAGGGGCCGAGGCTAACACCGAGGTGGGAGCGGTGGGAAATTTGCGGCGGCGGAGGTTTGGGGCGCCCCACCTCCACCGAGTGCAGGCGGCCTCGAGCTCGGCCCCCCTCGGAGTCTGGCTCCTGGCCTTCTTGGCGACTTGCACCTTGCCGTGGGGCTCCATAATTGGCCATAGCGCTCTTCTGTGCCGCCTAACCACGCCCCAGCATTAGACCTTGATCCTCGAATAACATCCAAGATGTGTATAGTGAAGTATGCGATTGGTCTTTGGTTTTGTTTTTTTTTTTTAAGTCCCAAACATAAGCAAACTAATAATGTTAGTTTTAAGCTTCAGAATACATAGGGAAACTTTACATGTTGAGTATTGGGTTGGTTTTCTGTAAGGTTTAAATTTGGATACCATGTTAGTGCTCGTGAGATTTTTTTTTTAACAAAAGCATTTTTAAAATAACTGGTATGAGAAAATAGGCTAATATTTAAAATATTCAGAAAATTGTTGCGCTTTGTTACTGTGCAATTGTCATGATGAAATACGAAGACATCAGAATTGTACCTTATAAGACTTTGCGAGAGGCTTCTGCAAATAGAGTAATTCTAAATATGAATTTATTAAGTTCTTTCTGAAGAGTGGTCTCTAGGTGTTGTCTTCAGGTGACACAGGAACAAATGTGAGTTGATTTCCTACTAGGTAAAATTACTTTTTAAGTGCTTAACTGTCTGTCTATTGCATCCAGAATCTCAGTTGAAACCATTTTTATTTGTCTGAAATATGTAATGAACTCACAATGTAAAGTATACATATAGAATGTTATAACAAAAATATAGAAACTAGGACTTAAAGCAAGTTGACTCTACAAAACACTGTGTTGTAATTTGGATTTTTCACTTAAACTCCCAAAATTAGAAGAGCTGACCAGAAAGGCTTAAAAAAGAAATGTAGACAAACGTTTATCCTTTCTCTAAACATGCCGTTATTTGAGCAGAAAACAAAATGACATTGGAAAGCAACTGGGATTTATTTTTAGTTATTTATGTACTATATGCAAGGCACTGAGTTGATAACAGATGAGAAAGTGCTTTTACAACGTATAAAGTAATATAATAATCATGAACAGTTAGTACGCTCACTCTTCTAACCAATTCATGTCTCCTTATGGTACATTTTAAACTCCAGAACTTGTGGTTCTTGTACAAGTATTAATATACATGGCTATGATTCTGTGTAACGGAAAGCAAAAATAAATGAACTGTTTATACATTTTGAATATTTTTTCTTGTTTATATATTGTTTCAGATTGTATTTACAAATGCATTTGTACACATTAGAGTGTACATTAGAGTTCTTAGTAACTTGATAATCCTAGTTGGTGTCAGTTCTTACTTTTTGTATGTTTTTTTTTTTCAGGTAGGTCTACTGGGTTCTTGGCATAATACCATATGGACCTAGACAAAGCATTGTTAAGGTGGAAATTTTTATTGTATTAATCAGTTCAAACTTTTGCCAGTCTATTTATTTTCCAGTATTTTAGTCAAATAATTAGATGTAGGCTTCATACAGTGAGCAATATTTGTAGGGTAATTGGTCATTTTAAATTTCCCACCAAATGAAAAGTTTGATTTCAGGGATCCCTGGGTGGCGCAGCGGTTTGGCGCCTGCCTTTGGCCCAGGGCGCGATCCTGGAGACCCGGGATCGAATCCCACGTCGGGCTCCCGGTGCATGGAGCCTGCTTCTCCCTCTGCCTGTGTCTCTGCCTCTCTCTCTCTCTCACTGTGTGCCTATCATAAATAAATAAATAAAAATTAAAAAAAAAGAAAAGTTTGATTTCAAATAGTTAGGTTTTACAGAGCGCTTACTAGATGCCAAACTGTGTTAAGTCCTATACATACATTATCTTTCTTACTTACACATACATTATCTTAATACTCATTAATACAGTATTATGAGTTAGGTCTGTTAAACCCCCTTTTTTTTTACAAATGGAGAAGCTGAGGCAAAGAGGGATTAATCCTTGTCCCTGGTCCCAAAACTAGAGCTATATTCTAGAACCTTTCTTTTCATTTTTCTGAAGACGTAGGTAGAAGAAAAGAATGGAACTTAGAACCTGGACTCTAGTACTACCTACTCTGCTTTGTAAAGTAGGACAAGTCATTTAAGCTCTCTGAATTTCATTTTTCTCTCCTATAAGCAATAAACACTTCCAACTATTACATTTTATTGATGTTGAATCATCAAGAATCCTTAAGAGTGCCTCCACCATTGTCTCCCATATTTTCTTCCAAGCCTCTGACACTTCCTTGAGTTCTGAAGCACATGTGCAGGCAGTGACAAATCTCCTTGAGTATAGCCTGGTCTGACCACATTGTAAGATGTGGCTTGGAATTGATAACATGTAGTAGATGATCTCTGAGCTCCTTTCAACCCCAATTCTATGACATTGGTGACTATCTAACATTTTATTGTTGGTTTATACATTTTTTTAATATGAATGATTCAAGATAAAACAAGCTTATTTTATCTTCTTGGTAGTGGAAAAGTAGTAACCATTCTTGTCTTTTTCTTACCTGAATTTTCAATACCCAGAACAATGCATGTAGTAAATGTTCAGTAAACATTTGCTGAATGAAATAAGCAAATTTTCATTTTATATCACAAATACAACTTCTTAAAAAATAGTGACTTGAATTTGACATAAAACCGAATAGTATTAATATTGCAAAAATACTTAACTAACATTTTTTTGCATTCAGGAGTGTACTGCCATAAAACAGCAGTCTTTGTTTCCAAACATGTTTTCTGTGTGTTGTCAAGTGTGTGGTACATTTTGTTCCTTGAAGGGGTATGGTAAAAATCGAAATGCTGGCATAAACTTTTTAACAAGGCATCAGACTTTTTTTAAGCGAGCAAAAGTATAGGAACACTGATTAATATGTAGATTTTCATTTTAATGAAAGTTGGAAAAATAATTTGATGTCTTTATTAAATTGTTATGAATTTTCTGGATGTGATTAAACATACCATTCTTCCAAATATACAAATAATATTGCATATTTCTGAGTTATGAATGATGAAAATAAACTATAATTGAAAGATATTTTGAAACTGTGTGAACGGGCAGAAAAGTGTTCAAATTTTGGGGTAGCTAAGTGTAAGATAATGTAACTAAAGAGATTATCCCAGCTATATTTATAGTAGTTCTGATGAGGTCTGTTCTTTCAGTTAGAACCAGCGAGGGGACACAGTAATTATTATAGAGTATAGACTATTCTCTGGTGATATTCAGCCAAGTGTTCTGCTGTGGCCAGAAAAGCCAACAACATGTGAAATATCATCAAAAAAGATTTGGGGGAGTGCCTGGGTGGCTCAGTTGGGTGAGTGTCTGCCTTCAGCTCTGGTCATGATCCCAGGATCCTGGAATTGAGCCCTGCGTCCGAGCTCCCTGCTCAACAGGGAGCCTTCTTCACCTGCTGCTCCCCTTGCTTCTGTTTTTTTTCTCTCTCTCTCCATCAAATAAATAAATAAAATCTTTAAAAAAAAAAAAGGATTTGGGAAAATCAACAAAAAATATCTTACCCTGAAACAGCACAATGGTCTACCTAAACATAAAGGTATAAGTAGTACTTTATATTCATGATGGATAGATCTAGATGTTCAAAATCCTTTTA